AAAACATCTTAAAAACATTTGGATATCTATATTTGTTAATTAATTTGTTTCCAACTAAAATAAAATAGGAGACGTTGTTAAGATGTTTTTGACATAGAGGTTATCCGTATTTTTTCATTTTAGTATAATCTGGTTCCAATGATGTAATGATCTAAGTTTGAAAAGTCATGAAAAACTCGAAAGAATCTAATAGTTTTAAAAATATTCTTAAAAAAATTAATTTTCTTATGATATTTTTTTTTTGCTAAACTTGCAACCATTTTTATATTAAAAAAGAACTTTAGTACCTTGTTGTTTTACTCCATGACAACTTTTAAAATTGTTTTAAATATGCCTACATGAAAAAGAGGTTGTATTAAACGTTTAAAGTGCGTTAAATCTTATTACTTACTTGATTTACCCACACAATTATAGGGCTTCACGTCACAAGGATATTTAATTATTTAATCTTGTTATTGGTTGTTTTCTGTAGTAGTATGAATGTCGTTACGAAAAAAATTGTGTAGTATGTAAACAGACATGTGGTTTGGAAGAGCCATAGGGAAAATTAAAACTGATGATAGTTTAGCGAGGGCTCTGCCCGTGGATGTGGAGCAAACTATCACTTGTTTTTGCAGGTTCAGGTTTTTGTTTTATTTTACCCATTTTAAATTGCACCATATCAGTAACTTCTATTTTTCTTTTTAACAGGAAGGCAAGGCGCAAAGAAAGGGAAGGCATCGAAACTGGCACGTCAACCGACTCAAAATTATACTTAGAAGCAGCTGTTCTAGAAAGAAAATTGCCCGATATGGACATGAAAACATTAGTAGAATTGCCCGCTGGTCTAGATTACAATGAATGGCTTGCATCACACAGTAAGTCAGTCATATGTTTATAAACTGTTAAAAATCAAAGCATTTCAGCTCTTAAAATATGTGTATTTTATATATGTATAATATAAACAAGAAATATTGTTAAATGATTTCTTAAACGATGTTATTGCCATAACTACTGCTAAAATGAACAGGATTTTTCAAATTACTGTTTAGTTTAAATTAACAATGAAAATTTAAGCATGTGTTATTAATTTGCAAATATTTGTTAGTAATTTAATTAGTTTGGGCAATTTTTAAAAAAATTAAGGTTTTGTTAGTATTTGTTGCAATTCATATTACAGCAATGGCTCTATTTGACCATGTGAATTTAGTTTATGGGACAATAAGCGAATTTTGCACAAATACAAGTTGTCCTGATATGACTGGACCAGGCCAAAGGTTCGTGAAAACAAATAAATTGTAATGTACCCCTAATTAATTAGAATGTTTTTTGATTTACTTTTAGAACTTACCTATGGTTCGACGAAAAAGGTAAAAAAACTAAAGTAGCCGCACCTCAGTACATAGACTATGTCATGACATTTATACAAAAAACTATTAGTGATGAAAATATCTTTCCTACTAAATACGGTAAGTAAATACATAACATTATTAAAAAAGAAATAATTATTCAGATTACAAATTTTCATAATTTTTGAATAGAATCCGGATAGTAAAGGCACCAAATATTTATTACATTCATTTTTTTTTGTTGTTAAACAAATACTAAATAATACTGTCCAATTTTACATCAATTTTTTCACTTGCTTTAATAACGTGTAATTACGTATTTTGTATTAAAATTCAATCGATAGTTAACAAGTAAAAAGTACTTTTTACTTAAAAACCAGTGCAATTTCAAGTCTTATATTTTGAGGCTAAATAAGTAGCAGTATTAGATATTTGTTTAAAAAGTTTAAGACTTTTAGTTTTAGAAATAGATAACCCATGCTTATCTTACTATTATTCATTTAAACATAAAGGTATCTAAAATTCTATATTTCAAATGTCTTTTCAGCTAACGAATTTCCGTCATCGTTCGCGTCTATAGTTCGGAAGATAGTTAGACTATTGTTCCACGTTATAGCGCACCTCTACGCCGCCCATTTCAGAGAGGTGGTATTGTTGGGGTTGCATGCACATTTGAACTTGACCTTTGCGCACCTGATGGCGTTGCATCATCGTTTTTCGCTGATTGACGCCAAAGAGACCGAAGTACTTAGGGACTTAGAAATAGCCTTGCATTTATCGGACGATAGCAATCACGAATCTAGTGCACTTAACGACCCCACTGACGTGGATGGTAAAGACAAGGAATCTGAGAGCAAATCACACACTTCGGACGAGAATAGTAAGTGAAAATAATATCGATACAAGAAAAAAAAAATATTGAGTGGAGTTGCTCTCTGAAAAAAGTTTTATGCGAAAAGAATAATTGTAGTTTTTCAAGACCAATGAATTAAATAGTACAATTCCGTTTAAATGAATTATAAATACACCGCACTCACACTTGGTGAAATTTTATTATTTCCTAAAGTATCGATTAGAAATGCATATTACATAATATTTATATCTTTTATATAGATATACTTTATTCAGAGATTGGACTAATTATAATCCTGCAAGCTGCTATTTACTGCCAGTATTTAGATTATGTAATCCTCAGTAATGTATATAANTATCATCATTATTTACTGTTGTGGGCTGTAGCGAGCTTTCTTTAAGTGGAGATTCTTTTATTTCTGTATCAAGAGGTAAGGATCCTAATGGATCTTTTAAATCACCATTTGCATTCTTCTTTACCAAATTGGCATATTTTGACATCAATTCAGCTTTCTTTAGTTCGTGTACTACTCTCTCGTTCTTATATCTTTTTTCCATTAACTGAAGCTCCAGAATTTCTCTGATTGCCTATAAGATATTAATATATATTTAACTCTTAAAATAATAATAACACGAAAATAATTTGAAAGATTTTAAATTGACAAAAACAATCTAAAATTTGAATGTTTTGTTTTCTACTAATTACAACAAAATGTTTATGGATTTTCCTTACAAAATGGCAAGCTACTGAAAATAGGTAAAATGGCCTAATTGTAGACCACGGAATAATATAGACGGGGTATACACTAGAGCGTTGGAGGCTATAGAGGGATCTTGAGTCTACATTCGACTGGCCACTCATGCAAAGCACGCATAGTAAAATCATTTAAATTGTTGCTGAAATATATAGACTTATAGAGGGCGAATTTTAGATATATGTAAAATTTCGAAATTGCATGCTCAATTAAAATTATTTTGAATAATGATGACAGAATACTGTACGATTTTTCTAGGTGGTGATTCGAAGTCATAGTTTTTAAATAGTGGAGGACAATAGAGAAATTGAAACGAAATTGAGAAAAATTTGAGCGTTTCTTAACATAAACTCACTCTTTATCCTACTATAACCAGATTCCTTTTTAAGTTCGTTGTGATATTTATAGTATCTTCCAGTTGGAGGTTGAGAGAAGAGTAAGCGGTACCTTTAATGCTTAATTTACGCCGAAAGTTGCGAAAAAAAAAGTATAGACATACACACGCTTAGGAGAACAATCCGTTTTTGGAAACCCAACTATTGTGCATACATACAAATATGTACAGTACAGCTAGAGCATGTTGGACTTTTAGTGATAACGCTCGCTATCTTCTTTTTTTTTATTAAGCGAACTATTATTTATTGTTTTTACTTTTTATTATTTATATAGTAATAATAAAAAAAGTTTATATTTTAAAATACGCTCCTTGCTAACTACATTATGTATGTAGCTGTTTGTAACTGATAGATCGTACTTACCTCTTACTAGGTTGTTGACTGTTTTTCTTTTTTTTTTTTTTAAATTAAACGCCCG